CAATTAAAATTGTTCACTATTTGTTATGGTCATAGATATTAGATCATGTATCCTGAGTGTAATTAATGCCACGAGTATGATGTTACAAAAGCACTAAATCCTCTGTTCGTGTGACTGTGAGTCGTTTGGCTGTATCTTACAATCCCAGGGTCGGTCTGTCATGTTACGGTTACGTCTATCTGACAGTTAATTTCCATGGAGACAAATGCACCTATCTATCCACATAGGAGGCTGTCTATCAGGCAGAGTGGAAGTTTTGTATGGAACAGTGAATTTTCAATACAACATTATTTTAAAGAAGCTCTTCATGGCATCCAAAATTATACAAAGTTTGCTATCAATGTACGTAGTTTAAAGGGGGAATTTTTAAATGGCAACTATCCACTAGTTTTCATTAGGTATATATTATTGAAGAGTACCTACCATTTTGGATATAACAGCATAAAAGGTGTGCAAGTTAAAAATATGTAATAAAACATAGTGGTTGACATTAAAAATATGCCCCCCTTGTCCATGCAAAAGTACGCCAATGATCACAAATTTAAAGCGTTCTAGACAAATTTTCCAACTGAAACATTAGTGCAGCGGTGAGCGGAGAGCCGGCGCTAACTCGCTTATTTGAGGTAGTTTTTTTTTTCGGAGTAGAAAGAATTGGGACCCACACCATTTTGTTCAGAAATGTTTGAACCTTCAGAATCTCGCTTTACGACATTTTCCCGTGGCCCTGACAAAAGTTATAGGCCGCTAAAGTTGAACTTTACTCATTTTCGCGCGCACGACTAGACCACCGAAAGTATTTATTTTCTCAGCAACAAAGCGATATACATCAATAATTCCTTTTGTAAAATGAAAGTACATTTATAGCAGAATCTAAAGCAATCATATTTACCTACCTTGTTATGCACAGTTTTTAGAAAAATGACCGTCAACTTCCAAAATTCGTGTAGCAGATGAAAAGTGCGCACTTTGAACTCTCATAACTTTTCATTTCACGATATGGATTTCCAATATTTATAGCTCATTCGATGCTCCAAACCATTGTGATTATTTTATTTTCTATAACATTACCGTGAATTTTTCATAATAAAAAAGTTACGGTCATTTAAGTAAAAACCTACCGACCTCGCCGAGTTGGTAATCGCGAGTGAGACGGAGAGGGAAGGATAGTCAGCAGCGTTCGCTAAACAAGGAGCGATGCGTAATTTACTAAGAAATTTCCCTCCGAATACCAAAACTAGCTATTTAGGCCGTTTAGTTTACAAATGCATTCCGCCGAGTTGCATTGTAAAATCTCAAACAATTCATTAACTCCATGTATCTCAGTTCTGTGGTGAAATATATAGGTACAAATAGGTACCTTTCCCTGTAAATTTTGGGGGTTACTCCACATCAGGTATCTCTTGTGCTGTGCTGTATATTGCAAGATCAGCAGTAACAACGGTATGATTTTGTCCCAAGATTCAGGCTTGTTTTTTGATTTCACTAGACGATGGTTAGGATGGTATTGTAGCTCGCTGGTGGAGAATTCAAAAACGGCATAGGTATATTATATTGAATGGTAGATACCGGAACTTACTTAGGAGGATTATCAGCAGGTACTTAGGCTGTTAAAGTCAGTTATCTGGTCGTTATCTAGTGATAGGTAAACCTGGTGGTCAATCATTTCTAGACATGCCGTCTGCATGATCTCGAATTTAAACTTAACTTAAATAATTTAAATATGTAGTCATCTCAATAGTTTCAAAACTTTTATGAGTTTATTTTTTCCCCCCGGTTCTTTTGAAATGTGTTAAATTCAACTTTCAACTTTTAATGTAATAATTCAACCCTCCGGTTGGTTGTCTTGTCTTAACAAGGCTTGATAATAATTCGTTTTGAAACTTAGGACAACCTTTCCGGTTTAACCACCCTTCAGGTTTTTTCACTTGGCTTCGGCCAGTTAATAATTAAAAAACAACATGTTCGTCTTATTCGTCTTCAACGTTTGTAACTTACCGTTTTCCTGTTAAATTTCACATCGCCTGATGATGGCAGTACGCCGAAACTATAGTCGCTTTTATTTTTAAAAACTTCAACGAATAAAAACTATATGAGGAAGGTTTAGAGAGTTTTGATCACACAATATATTTCAACCCCCATTTCGAGGAGCGATGGATCCAAACACCAAAAAAAAAAAATCCATGTATTCGTTTAGGAGCCACCCTCAAAAAAGTGGTAAAGTTTCTTTTTTTCTCAGCAACAGTTACAGAGACTGGTGGTGAGTCTTTGAATAGGTTTTGCTGTATGCCCTTTCCGGTTTTGCAAATAATTTTTCAAAATTCCTACCGCAAAAGGACACACCCCTCAATAGGGGTGCGAAAAAATGTTGATTTCGACGAAATTTGGTATCTGGTGGTTTTTGAATCTGAAATTAGTTTTTGAAAATTCGAAAAAAATAATTCCACTGCAATTCTTGGCCGGACAACGAAAATTGACAAAATTCCACGAAGTTTGTTGTCTAGGTACATACTTACGGAACAAAATTATTGAACAGTTTTTTTAAGGTCATTTTTCAAACACTCATTTGCAAATTGGTCTTTCGGGTCAGAAAATGTTCTCCGACAGTGGCATAACAAGTACAGTAAACGTCAATATTACATGTTCTGCTAAGGGTGTCTACCTACATTTCACAAAAATTTGTCAAATAAAAAATGATAATTTTATCACAGCGACCATTAATAACTTCGACATCAACGAGGAAACCGTCACAGAATGAGAATAAGTAGGCTATATTCTGTGGAAACAGACGAAAAAAATTCAACGCACAGTCTTTTTTCAAAAGCGAGAAACATCGACAGAAGAAATCTAGATAACGACCAGATAACTGACTTTAACAGCCTAAACACCTGCTGATAATCCTCCTAAGTAAGTTCCGGTATCTACCATTCAATATAATATACCTATGCCGTTTTTGAATTCTCCACCAGCGAGCTACAATACCATCCTAACCATCGAACTTGCCTTACATGGAAAAAATTTAAAAAGAATTTGTACGATTATCTAGTCAATGGGTGTTTCTACAACATACAAGAATTTTTTATATCTTCCAATATTTAATTGTTCGTTTGTTTAATTAATGTTATATTGACTTGTTCCATACAAATGTTATTTGTCGAAGGAATTAAATAAAAATGAATGAATGAATGAATGAATCGTCTAGTGAAATCAAAAAACAAGCCTGAATCTTTGGGACAAAATCATACCGTTGTTACTGCTGATCTTGCAATATACAGCACAGCACAAGAGATACCTGATGTGGAGTAACCCCCAAAATTTACAGGGAAAGGTACCTATTTGTACCTATATATTTCACCAAAGAACTGAGATACATGGAGTTAATGAATTGTTTGAGATTTTACAATGCAACTCGGCGGAATGCATTTGTAAACTAAACGGCCTAAATAGCTAGTTTTGGTATTCGGAGAGAAATTTCTTAGTAAATTACGCATCGCTCCTTGTTTAGCGAACGCTGCTGACTATCCTTCCCTCTCCGTCTCACTCGCGATTACCGACTCGGCGAGGTCGGTAGGTTTTTACTTAAATGACCGTAACTTTTTTATTATGAAAAATTCACGGTAATGTTATAGAAAATAAAATAATCACAATGCTTTGGAGCATCGAATGAGCTATAAATATTGGAAATCGATATCGTGAAATAAAAAGTTATGAGAGTTCAAAGTGCGCACTTTTCATCTGCTACACGAATTTTGGAAGTTGACGGTCATTTTTCTAAAAACTGTGCATAACAAGGTAGGTAAATTGAATGCTTTAGATTCTGCTATAAATGTACTTTCATTTTACAAAAGGAATTATTGATGTATATCGCTTAGTTGCTGAGAAAATAAATACTTTCGGTGGTCTAGTCGCGCGCGCGAAAATGAGTAAATTTCAACTTTAGCGGCCTATAACTTTTGTCAGGACCACGGGAAAATGTCGTAAAGCGAGATTCTGAAGGTTCAAACATTTCTGAACAAAATGGTGTGGGTCCCAATTCTTTCTACTCCGGAAAAATTTTTTGAACGATTTCGCGGCTCTCTCCGCTGCACTACTACATTATTCTACTCAATGACCAAACCATCTGCGCGGTGCAGTCAGTCTTTCTCAAAAAAATATATTACACAAACTAAAATTATGCGTATTTTGGCAGAGGGGTTGACTAATAAAATTATAATGGTACTGCACATTTTTCAAATATTTAGTGAATTCGTTTACAGGAGCGTGGCAAGGTAAAATTACGCCTAGTGCAAAGTTTGTCCGACGCGCCTTTTTTAATAATAATAATAACAATAATAATAATGTGGTCTTTGCATATTTTTTATTATAAATAATAATGTACTTCTTAAATATATAAATACAGATTTTGCATACTTTTTATTTAAAAAAATGTTTGACTAAATATTTATTTAAAATTTACTTTTCTAGCTTTAAGTTTAGCAAATTCACTATACTTATTTTACAATTATTATATTACTTATTTACGATCAATCCTGACTCAAGTGCACTTAAAATTGCAAAATAAAAAACTTTGTAAAATACTTTTGTATAATTTTTATTTTAAAAAATTTTAGGACTTTTTGGCGCCTAGCAAAATTTGGCGCCTAGGGCACTTGCCCGGTTGCCCTACTGGATGCCACGGCCCTGTTCGTTTATATTTGAAATTCAAAGCTCAAAAAGTGGGCAATGAGAAAGTGTTTTTTATTTTTTTTTGTAATGTGCAAGTTAATACTGTTCCCAAATATGTACCTAGGGAAACATTTTCTATTGTGATTCAACATATTTCAGCAATGACAAAATCTAAAAATTGTGTATGTAATTGGAGTGCTTTTTTTTCTCTTCAGGCACTGGGGACCAGATACACATCTTTCAGAAAACTAAAAGCATTAAAGTAATTAAGATTTTTGAAGGTGTACAAATTTTTGGAATTGCATTCACAAGATCATTGACTAAATGTTTGGTATTTGGAGAGAACAAAATCGCAGTGTTGGAGTGTGATTTCTTAAATATTAATTTTGAAAAGGAGTCATTGTTTTCTGTGGAGGATTGGATACTATCTGCTGCATGGACTGATAATGATGAACATATTGTAACAGTTTCTATGCACAATGTTGTTCACCTTTGGTCAAAGGAATTTGAATTAATTGAGAAAAAATGTTGCCAAGAGAATTGCATTCTGTACAGTAGCCATTTGGTTAATAACTTATGGACAGACATTATCGTTCTGGCAGGAACAGTGTTTAGCCAGATATTAATATGGTGGCCTTATAAATCTGGTGGAGGTAATGTTTGTCCTATTCTAGCCAAATTAGACGGGCATAAGGTAAGTTATAATTACGAATTTATTATTGTGTATCTTTTACTTTATAGGGCGTAATTTTTTCCATTGATTGTAATCAGAAGACTGGAATAATATGTTCAACATCGGACGACCGATCTGCTATTCTGTGGTCCATTCCAAACAAGAATTTAGTGGCTGAACTTTTGCAGCCAGAACCAAAGATCATCTTGAAATATTCAATGTATGGTCATACAGCTCGAGTATTTCGTTGTTTGGCACTTGATGAACGTATATTAACTGCAGGTGAAGATTCTTTGATCAACGTATGGGATTTGGAGGGAAATTTGATAAAGAGATTTGAGGCGCATACTGGATCTCCAGTGTGGGCATTAGATTATGATAGTGAGAATGGTGTATTAGCAACGGCAGGAGGAGACTGTGGAGTTACCCTTTTATCTTTGAATGACAACATTGACAAACAAGAAGTTGAGGTCGTTAATAAGCACACACTGAAAAAAGTTGGTGCTTTAAATAATGCAAATTTAGTGGGAATTTCAGAAAGGGGAATGATATTACTTTATCTTTCAAGTTCAAAGATATGGATGGAAGTAAAACAACATAATGACTTAATAAGCTATGCATTGTTGGATGTTTGGAAGAAAACCAATTCGATAGCGTTTGCAGGTGTGTTCAATTTGTAAATTTTTGCATATACCTATTGCCATTGAATAAAAAACACATTTATTCATTGCTATTGCTTAGGTATTATTATTTCCATTTATTTTCAAAACGAGCCACTTATTGTCGATAATTTGTAATTTAAATGAAAAATCAAATTGCAAAAACGGATAGCTAGGGGTAATTTCAATGTAAGAGTTGCCCTTGTACGGCCAGCTACCGCCTACTTCCGCTTTAAAATTGTAGTATGCACCACCCATCACGTTACGCATTATTTTAAAAGGTCATAAAATTCTCTTTACACATAAACCCACAGAATCAAATTTGATTGCTCTGATTGTGAATTAAATTTATGAAACCAAGACAAATACAAATGAATCATTCATTACATTTATTTTATTAAATGCTCAAAATGGCCACTACTAGTACACAGACAATAATACAGTGTATGTTGAATATATGCAGAGCTGTCACAAATCGTTTAAAAAACGATTTAAATCAAAGATCAAAGATGCATTTCATTTTAACAAATGATTTAAATCAAAGATACTTTTGTCAATAAGAAAGCATTTAGATAATAAATCATTTTGAGATTTAAATCTTTTTAGAAAGTATTTAAGATACTTTCAATGTATTTAATTCATTCAAAAAGGTTTAAATCTAATTTTGTTAATTTAAATCACGTATAAAGAATCATGTAATGATGTAATGATTTAAATCTTTTCCGATGATTTAATCGTTTTGTGACAAAAGGTTTGTAAAGGATTTAAATTCAATAAAACTGATTGGTCTGATGATCTTGCTCGAAACCGTCAACATCATTCATCAATATACCTACCATTTCTACCGTATTTTATTGTTATTATTTATTAAATTAAAATATGTAGCTATTTTTTTGCAAAAGAAATTTTAAAAAACCAAGACATCATCAATCTCAGTATACTCGATTTTGTAATAAATACATATAAACGTCTACCGAAATAAAACCCGGGTTAATTAGCTTAGTCAGGTTGAAATAAATCAAGAGAATTTGTTAGTATGTATTAATTAAATCGTCTCTAAAAGATTTAAATCACTCGAAAACGATTTAAATCTTTTCGAAAGTATTTAAATATTTTTAAAAGATTTAAATCATATTTATAAGTTCAAAATCAAAGATAGTTTTCATGAAGATTTAAATCTTAAATCAAAAATCATTTTCCGCAAAATGATTTAAGATCAAATGATTTAAATCGAAAAAAGTATTTAAATCATAAAAAAGATTTAAATCTTATTAAAAGTGACAGCTCTGAATATATGTTACCATGGTGGCCATCTATGTCATCCTCTCTGCTAAACCATTTACCAGGGTACCGTCGCGGATTACGCCAGTGCCCACGGTGGTATAGACTGGTGAGCTGGCGAAGCATTAAGAGCACACGGAAATCTGTCGCACGAGTACCGACTTATTAGAAAAGGAGCACCCGAGAGCGAGAAAGCACATCCCGTCCATTCAGTATTATTGAATCTAACGCGCGCTCACCTACAAGCAATTATAAACTGCCTTCATTTGTTGAATTTAGAATTGTTACCTTCATAAAATGCATCAGTTGCGCATTTTACTACGTTAAAATTACGGGGTGGATTAAATCATCCAAATTCTGATGTGTTTAATTTGTTAAAAACCGTTGATAATACTCTCATGCCACATGCTGCGTCCGTCGATTTTTTTGATCAGACAATTGCAGATTTACCTATTTTATAGTACTACAACTACGGAATGCAATCCCGCAGCAAAATCTCAATCCCGGTATTTGCGGGATCCCACAAAACTTTAAATAAATTGGCACATAAGCAATTCTGTGCAGTTAACTTCTGTATTACAATAAATCGCTAATTATTACAATATTTAACAAAAAAGTAGATACCTTCAGCCTAACTTAGAACTCAAAAAAACCTCGCCTGTAAAGCACAAAAAGGTGAACTTCTAAAGTGCCTCAAAAATCATAGTACATTTTTAACGAAAAAAGTTTAACAATTATTTAAAAAATAACTTCTCCGTTATGCGTTTCATTAACAAAGTAAACAAGAGTCGTCTCCTTGGTCGACAAATTCCTCAGTCCCGCAAATCACGCGGGATCCCGCTCCATTTATGCGGGATCTCGGTATTTCGGGTACCAGTAACCTGAAATATTCATAAAGAATATGCATGTGTTTTCATTTCGTTGAAAGTTTCACCTTCCAACCAAATTCCTAAAAGATCACTATTGTAGGTACATCTAAAACTTGTTATTTTTACAATCAGAAGTATGTATTACATATTGATAACTAGTTAATAGCGACATGACCATTCATACACAGTTTTTATACGATAATGGACAGAAACACACATCTTTGGTAGTAAACTATGTAACGTGCGAATGGATTACGTACATATAAATTCGCGGACGGAATTTGTTCTCTCTCTCTCTCGCACACTTCAGGCCGGTGACGGCGTACATGCTACACGCGCTCGCCGTATCACCAGTCTATACCACCGTGCCAGTGCCTAATGTGGAGGAACCCCATCTTGTTGAGAGTGCAAATTTTCTAATAGCATTTTGATTCCAAACATTGTGTGATTAGAGGATCATCACTTTTTCCCATAGATTCTGATATGATTGCCCTGTTAAATTTCCTTCTATCAGACCAATACCTAATTTAATTCTCAAAAATTCCTGCTCAAACATTGATTTTCTGTGGAAATTGGGTGTAATCTTCTCGAAACAAGTGTGGATTTTTCCCATATCTGTTCAAGAAGAAAGTAACGCATACCGTTAATTTAGTTTATTTTATTTTTCAGAAGGAGCAGTTTTAGACGAGGCTTAACTTATCCTCATTGTTGGTTGTGTAATTCCACTGTTCATATTTAAAATTCTTGAAGTAACGTGATAAAATGTGACGTTTTAAACTATTCTTGCTCTTTGATGTGTCATTACATTGATTGTAAATGAAATTTTTGCTGTATAAAAAACAATATAGATTATTTTTGACCATTGTAAATCAACAAAATGGCGGTGTTATCCCACCAATAGTAATTACAATGTACTGCCACCAGAGGTCTCACTGTTAATCTGAATTGCGAATAGATATGAAAATTAGAACGCTTCCATTTGAAATGATTTCACATATTTCAGATTAAACATTTCGTTTGCTACATGGCTGTTAAGTGCGATCGCCATCTTGAATTTTTTAAATATTGGTCATGTGACGCTCGAGCGCTTTTTTCTGGCCTCGAGCGGTTTTTCCGTTCATGAGCGTTTTTCTTTCGCTCGTAAGTTCTTTTTTCGCTCGCGAGTGTTTTTCCCGCTCGCAAGCGCTTTTTCCGCTCCCGAGCGTTTTTTCCTCTCCCGAGCGTCCATTTAACTTTTTGGAATAATGTATTTCACTTTCTGATTTTTGAGTTAACAGACATTTGGCATTAAATGTGTATGTGTACAAAACATAACTATAGGGTGTTCCATTTCCGACCTTTTTTATTGCCATAATTATTAGTGTTATAAAAAAAAGTAATTTAGGCGTCATATGCTCTTTTAAGGTCAAACATAAAATGGCAAAATTAAAATGTTAAAACTTTCGCTCGCTTAAGAGATACAGGGGGAAATAAAAAATTGCCAATTTCAGATTGACCCTATATTTTCTTATTTAAGAAAGATACAGAGAAATGTTTATTATAAAAGTTTGTAATGATTGTTGAATAATTTGACGGGTTTAAATAAGTATATGGGGACAGAAAAAAGTTATTGGACCTAACCTCATTTTTAAATACAACATCAAGCATATTATAATCTAAATAGAGAGCATATAAATTCTTTTTTGAAAAATATAACACGACGTGATTTAAAAAAATTTACCAATCTTTAAAAAAATTAAAAAAAGATTTAAACATATTGAAAAAAGCCTGGAAAAAAGGTTCCAATCATTTAAATTTAAACAATACAACAAATGTCAAAAAATTGAATCTTTTTGAATCAGTAGTGAGGTTTTTAATTTTTTTTAGTGTTGGGTCCGATACAACGGTTTTGTCTGATCCCTTATACTTACTTATTTTGAAAGCGACAGAATATTCAACAATCATTATAAAGAAACTTGTGTAAACACTTTTCTGTACCTTTTTAAACTAAGAAAATATAGGTTCATTCTTAAATATATAATGTTTTGATTTCCCCCCCTTATCTCTTAAGCAAGCAAAAATTTAATAATTTTAATTTTACCATTTTAATTAATTATTAAGATATTAATTATAATGATTAAGATATTAACTTGAGTTAATATTACCACGCAGTCGCAACATTAATCATCGATAATTGATTACCTATTTGTTTTTAGGATACTATGGAACTCTTCACATTTACAATCAAGAGTCAAGCAAGCTAATCCATGTCTGCAGTTATTCCACAGAAAGTAAATCAAGGGTATTTTCATTACACTGGTTGAGCGAAAATAATGTTTTAACATGTGAAGCAGAGGGAGTTGTTTACATTTGGCTTATACAAAATCACTCCATTGTACTGGAAACACACTTAAAGTTACCTCCTAGTAAAGAACGATGGACAACTTGTGCGTGTCTTTGTGGAGAGAAACGCGTCGCGGTTGGCGACCGAAAAGGAAATGTTTACATTTATAGGTTTGACAATGCTGATCCTATACAAGTAATAAGAAAAGCCCATAATTATTTGGGTATTACTAACTTACACTTTAGAAATGATTACTTAACATCACTTGGTAAGCTGGTTTTGGAAATCATTGATTATTTACCTCTTTGTTTAGGTAGGAATTCCCTTATCAAGAAGTACAAATTTGACCAGTCTAAGCAGCAGTTTATTCATTTATCATCTGATAAAGTACCGTTTTCTTGGACAGCAGCAATTTGCTACCATAAAAACTGTATATTACTCCTCGCTTTTTTAGGGAAAGAATTTATTGTATGGGATTATCAGAATAGACGTACACTTTTACAATTCGATTGCGGAGGAGCACATAGGTCATGGGACTTTTGTAAATTAAGCGGCGCAATGCAATTCGTCTTTATTAAAAATAAAAGGGTTTGTTTAGTGAAATCTGATATGAATCTTTTGAAAACATTACACATTATGGGAAGTTTTCACTGTAGCGAAATCAATGCTGTTTTTTGTTTTAAGCATTCCACTGCTGATAAATACGCATTACTTTCTGGTGGAGAAGATACAACTATACGTTTATCTGAAATTGATTGGGGCATTCCACCAGTGAAGTTTAAAAATAAAAATATTTTCAAATCGCATCTCTCTAGTGTTAGAGCTATAACTGCATGTCTTGTTCAGTCAGATTCAAACTACGAACGATATCTAATATCTTCAGCAGGAGGCCGAGCTCAATTAATGTTGTGGGAAATCGAAATTAACAGAAATGACAATTCCGTTAATTGTAGTGAAAGGTGTTCTCACTATGAAGCCCTTTCTTCCGACGAGTCTGAAACTCGAATAATGGATCTTTGTTCGGTATTGACAACAAAAGGATTAATCTTACTTGCAGCTACCTCAAATGGAACTCTGAGGGTGTTTTTGGCTGATACTGATGAAGAAAATAGTTACAGTATGAGCCCAGTAGGAGAAGTATGTTATAAAGCAATTTGTATACTCAAAGTAAGACATTTTAAAATACAAGATCTGGACATTGTGCTATCTGCATGTACAGGAGGACACGTTACATTTTGGAATTTTACAGACTATATTTTATCTCGAGAAACATCAAAAATTATTCAAGACGACGATCAATATAAAAGTATTGTAGAAGATATTTCTGCTGTTGCTACTATTCAACTTCACTCTGGAGGAATCAACAGTGTGGATTGTAAGGTAGTCGACTGTAGTAGGTGCTTACTACTTACAGGTGGGGACGATAATGTAATCATTTTCATTTTACTCTCATTAAGTGTCAAAAATTCTAAACTGAATGTTGAAGTATTATCTAAGTTCTGCAACAGTGATTTGCATTGCGCGCAAATAACTGGTGTATTTATTGCAAGCAATTATTTGATAACTGCTTCAGTTGATCAGAAAGTAAATACCTGTAAATGGATTTTGAGTGAGAATGATGTAGTATGCCACTATGATTTCACATATAAGACTAGTATAGCAGATATTCAAGGTATGCAATGTTTTGAAAAACCGTTTGGTGTACATGCTGTAATATTTGGTAAAGGTCTAGAATTATGTGAAGTTTTATTAAAATAACGGATAAATTTAGATAAAATCAGTAAACACACACTCATGTAACATAAGTCAATTGTTATTTATGTTTATACGCTCTACTTTCTATAAATTTCATTAAAAAATACTTGAGTATCAATAGGGGATTTTCCTTGTATTACACTGAAACCCTAAAATTAAAACTAAGTACGCATTTGTCCATTGTCACATACCATGATGTTTTTGAAGTATCTAAGAGTGTCAGCAGAGCCGGCAAGTATTTGTAGTTTCTAATACTTTTATTATTTAAGTACCTAAAAGTATGTAAATACTGGAAGAACTGGAATTATTTGTCTTTTGAACTTGCAAAAGTAAAACAAACACCAATACACCACAATATTATTGTGTTGTGTTCTGGTTTATTGGTGTTTTTGTGTTACTTTTGCAGTATTTAAATACTTAATTTCTTAAGAGGCCGTCACGCGCATGAAACATTTACGCATTTTCGGTTCAGCTCTTAGCGATTTTTTCGAAAATGGTGTTAGTATGGAATCATTGGAATAACCTATAATTACTTTTTCAATGATAGAATCCAATTTACTCAAAATTTTATACTAAGTCCCACACCTCTACACGCTATTAGACTCATATAATTTCTGTTAAAGCGCTTCCCTAGTCGTATGCAGAGAACTATTGTATTTGTACTTGAAATCGCAAATTTTAGTGTTTTATATGTTTTAAATATGTTTAGGAAGTATTTAAATTTTAATAACTCTTTAAATACTTTTGTAGTATTTAAATGCTTATGGAGTATTTAAATACTTTTGGACTGTTTAAATAGTTTTGGGGCATTTAAATATGTTTGGAAGGTATTTAAATGCTCTTGAAGAATTCAAATAAGTACTAAAAAAAATTTTGTCTGTTAGACGTTAGATAAGTAAACGGGCGTAAATGACTAGAAAATGAAATGATACAATTAAAATCTCAGATATAAGTCGGAGCCACGTATACTTGGGTATGGCTTATTTTTAAAATCAAGTGGTTTAATATTCAGGCGACGTCAGTCGACGGTTAATCATATATATATATATACTTATACAGGGTGGTGACTTGCGTAACGCATCATAGGGATTTCAATGTAAAATTCATAGCATGCGATTATTGGCTCCCCAAATTAATTTAGAGCAAAAATGTATTAAGGTTTTTTGTAGAAAAAAATTTTTTACGTCAATCAACCGTAGTAGTTTTCAATTTTTTGCATAATAAAGACGGAAAATTGGAAAAATAAAACCCACATCTTTTTCAATAATCTGCAATGCCATGGAATTTTCTGAAACAAAAAGATATCTAGTTATCAATTAGCAGCAGTTCGAAATGGATTTTATGATCGATTTGGTTACTATCTTGCAGTTAATGGTGACTTATTCGAACATTTATTGTAAATTGTTATATTAGGAAACAGTTTTTAGTAATTTGGTCTTTCTTTATGTTGAATTCGCTGTTATAAATATAATACTTTTTGATAGAATTTGATTTGTTTTATAGCAGACGTTCCATGGCATGACGGATATTGGCGTAGTTTTTGTATTAGAAAATTCCATGGCATCACAGATCATTGAAAAAGATGCGAGTTTTATTTTTCCAATTTTCCGTCTTTATTATGCAAAAAATTGAAAACTAATACGGTTGATTGACGTAAAAAAAATTTTTTTACAAAAAACCTTAATACAATTTTGTCCTAAAATAATTTGGGGAGGCAATAATGAATTTTACATTGAAATCCCTATGATGCGTTACGCAAGTCACCACCCTGTATATATGCGGTTAATCGACGTGTTGTTATAATGCGCACCGGTAGATGTCTCCACTGTAATCTGTCAAATGCAGAGACTTGTGGTCAAATGGTGACTGTGGAATCGCGATACGCCGTGTCCGTTTCAAAACTTAGGAGATTACAGTAAAACCCAATGAATAAAGAATACCAGGAAGGAGCATTTCAACAATATACGTGCGACCGCGATGGCTTTTGCAAATGGCGGACAGTAGTTTCCTGTTCCAGTGGCGTACCTACCTTACAGTTGTAGAAGGATACAATTATAAAGAATTTTACACGAAAACAATCTAAACCCCCATGTGTCTACTCCGCCTATGACTTTTGTTTAACTAACCTCAAACTACATTCCGATAAAAAATTTGTAAATTTACATGTACTATGTAAAAATAATATTGGTATCAATACTTACACATGAAATGTAATTCCCAAAGTTTTATTTTTTTCTGTTTTGGAGCAACCACAAGCACAACAACTAACCATTCTTTTTATGTCACTGCAACAGCCACAACAACAATGACTCATAAGTGCCTTTTGCAAATGGCCGACTTCCGTCGCACTCTCTCGTATACAACTTGATTGATGCTCCTTCCTGGTATTCTTTATTCATTGGTAAAACCACTGTAACTTTAGAAAAAGTATGCTTTGCGCAGCTAATATAAAAGGCATGGGAAGGGATTGTACACTCCCAGTAACAAGTAGTTCGTTTTTAACGTTCGTGAGTAATGTGCAAATACTACTTCTGTTCTGGTTGTAGTTTTCTGTTCCGAATATACATTATAGCCGAACCTGGTAAGAAACGCCGATCAAGTGCGGACGAATCCGAACATGCATGCGCAAATTTTCTAAGATTACGAATTACGATGGTTTTACTGTATTTTCATACATATAAGAAGAGTAATAATTTGACGTGTGGTGGTGAATTATCAAAGTAGAAGAAATGTTATAATTACCTACGTCTGCGCGCTGATTGTAACATAACCTGCACCGTGCGTAAGTAAACAAGATATCCTAACCTTTTAGTAGTAGGGGAGCTAGCACGAAATCCACTGAACGAGAATGATCAAAATTTTAACCGATGGAGTTCCATTTTGCTCTATCAGAGTATGCTAAAATCGATCGTCTGCCGCCTCAGGTCATATGACTTAAGGCGCTGCGGGTACTTCTTGCGGTACCAATTCTGAAAGGTTGTTTTTCGAGAAAATAAGTTATACACCAAATGAAAACAGTGATAATAGCCAGGTTGCGGACAGCATTTTCCGTTATGTTAGACGGCCATTTTTTCTTATAACATAAGAAATATAAATTTTTGTAGAAATAATTTACGGTATGAGGGCTTTTTGTACGATATATTTATAAATAGCGGAACCAATGAAAATGAAGTTCTTATAATGTGTCACTGCGCAGTACGTAATCACTCATAAATAACATTTTCCTGCTAACCTACAATTGTGCAGTGTTTATGTTGGCGGTAGTTCTTTTCTTTTTGTCTAAGAGCATAGTAGTGAACTTTGGACATTTTAACACAATGTAAAATAAAAGTGAGGTTAAGACTCCTTCAAACTTATAAGCAAAATTGAACACGCCCAGCCCACACCGCAACTTAACTTTGCTATAAAAATGTTTTATACTTATAAACTTATATTATAAGGAAAAATGGCCGTCTAACATAACGGAAAATGCTGTCCGCAACCTGGCTAATATAGCTCTTAAAAAAATATTTAAAAAAATCGCGCGCATTTGATAACTCCGTAAAAAAACAATTCTTAGTCGGTTTTTCACGAACTTTCTACGGATATAACTAGGTTACCGTTGGATAAATGAAGCTGATTTTTTTTACAGACTAATGATAGGCACACCCAATGACTATGAGAGTGTTTCATTTTTAAATTTTTTCTCTAATTATAAGATATCTTATAATGTTAAGATAAATAAGCGATAATCTTATAATTAGAGAAAAAATTTAAAAACGAAACACCGTTAAGTCTTGAGTAGTACCTATCATCAGTCTGTAAAAAAATCAGCTTCATTCGTCCAACCGTAACCTAGTTATATCCGTAGAAAGTTTGTGAAAAACCGACTAAGAATTGTTTTTTTACGGAGTTATCAAATGCGCGCGATTTTTCTCAATATTTTTTTAAGAGTTATTATCAACGTTTTCATTTGGTGTATAACTTATTTTCTCGAAAAACAACCTTTCAGAATTGGTACCGCAAGAAGTACCCGCAGCGCCTTAAGGCTGGACAGTACACCTGTTCCGTTGCCCGAAAACGCGTGATTTCGTTCCACGATATCTGAATTCTGAGTGAAGATGAAGAAGGGGTCGAATATTCCTGTGAAAGGTGAATGCTTTAGCTAGGCAATAACGCCGGGGTTTACTAAAATGTTTTAAAATAATCTTTTTTTTTAAGGGTAACGTCGCGGGCTGTTAGGGTGCCATATTTTGGAAAAGAAAAAAGGAAATAAATTTTCCTGGCGTTATTGCCTAGATATTAAGTTTACGAACTTATCTCAATTTTGGAAATTGTTCCAACTTCATTTATAGATAAGTTATCTTGGAAAAACAACTTAAAAGTTTTCCTCAAAATCGCGAAAAGTTAGGTTCCGCCACGCCGCTTGGTTTATACAGATAGAAAATGTGCATTATAATTGGTCTAAGTTTATGTTTCTGCCATCGATTACAAATTAATATTATAAATAACCAAATTTGGGCATTGACAATAGGCAACTTTGCATACTCCGTTCTGTATGTCCTGTCCAGCCTTAAGTCATATGACCTGAGGCGGCAGACGATCGATTTTAGCATACTCTGATAGGGCAAAATGGAACACCATCGGTTAAAATTTTGATCATTCTCGTTCAGTGGATCTCGTGCCGTGCTAGCTCCCCTACTATAGGTATTAAATTATTAAGGCCTGTT